GAGATTTATTTCAGTTTTTCTATGCGGTGTGCAGAGGTACCAATTGTCAGTTTCCTGTCTGATATTTACATCAGAAAGACCACCGCGTTAAGAATCGCTGTGCAAACTAGCATATGTCAAAATGATGTTGATTGTCCACAGGCACAATAAATGGTAAATTTATAGCCTCTGAATAAATTAAAAAATATAGTAACACTTTACATTGACTCCAGAGACACCAGCAGCTTTAAATTACTGTTTACTGCTCAACAGTGGCTTTTTTTATAGCTGTCCTTTTAATACAATTAATTTATTTTGACAGAAACTTTCCTTAATAAGTCTTTGTCTGACCGAGTTCTCTTGTGCTGTAAATACTCACAAATATTATGATAGTTCAATAATCTTTGTTCAATTTTCACATAATGTTGGGTGTTATCTAAAACGATATGGAAAAATAAAACAAAGAAACTCTTTCTTTGAAAAAAATAACAGATAGATAATCTATAAATTAGTATTATCCTAAATTACTAAATGCTATAAAAGTTTATTTTGACCTAATGTAATAATGAATGTTAATTGTATTGTAAAGTGTAAAATGTCTAAATAATTTTTAATCACATTATAAATTAATGAATCACATTAAATTAACAGCCATAATTTACCCTTATAAAGAAACTAGGAAAAATACAGTTTAAATCTTACTAGCATCCATGCAAACACTCAGACATTTAATGTTTATGTACAGTGAATTACTAATGGACCATGGTCCATTAACTATGTGGATTTACTTCCAACCACGCAGTGTTATGAAAAGGCCAGCACAGAGGCTCTAAACTCAGGCTTTGGCACTTTTCCTGCAAACTGCAAGACTAAGTTTACAATATTGACTCTTTGGCTGTGTAAAGTAAAGAGGACACTGGGTTATGGTAGAGACACAGTGAGTAAACACAAACATGCAGGACATTCACACCCAGCTCTGAAATTGTGGGCAGAGTTCCCTGAAAAACTTTATGATGAACAGCCGTTATGTATTGCAAGTTAGACAATTTCCCATGCAGTTTTACCAGGTATTATAACAATTTAGAATTACAATTAAATATGCTATACTATTAAATTTTATAGGCCAAACAACTTCATCTCAGCATACACAAACCCAAAGATAACCACTGAACACTAACAAACATTGTGCTGATGCATCAGTAGGCTACCATTTGGCGAATCTTCTACGTCATTCACACTGAATGTTCTCAAAAACCACCAGTTTATTGGGTGATGATGCTCGGGTTGGGAGCGGGAATTATGGCGATGACCAGCCCCCCGGTCTGTATGAGGGCCTGTGTGTGGGTGCACTGACCCAAGGTAACCCACGGCTGTGTTCTGAACTCTAAAGGGGAGGTAGATCAGAGCTGGTAATCACAAGCTCAGCTGTAACAGTCCTAATGAGCCTCAAAAGCAGTGGTAAAGCAAAGAGAAAGTCACCTAATGAGCCAAGAGTAATCTATGCCCATCCCATAATGCCTATAGTAAACTTTACTACTGACTTAGCCTGCAACAAAAAAAAAAAATATTTGGGGATTTGGACTATTATTTCATACGTCAGGCGTTTCAAGCTAAAATAAATACATTCCACCTGCATCTCTCTAGCTTAACCACTAGAGAATATGATGCATGTGTATGGGGCGCTTGCTCCTCTTCTCCCAGAACGGTCTCCCCTCCTCCTGGGGCAGCCAGGCTCCAGGGTAGACAAGCGATCTCAACTATTCTTTTATTCTGTGCTTAACCTCCTCTACGACAATAAAGGTCTGTTTGCTTATTCACCCGCCTCGGCGTTGAACCTGATAGCACTTCAAAGTTCCACGCTTGGGACAGTGATTAGATTGCTGCTTTTCACTGGGCATTAAATGCCACGGCTGTGTTTCACCAGGGTAAAGCATTACACTCGATTATTTTTGTTAAGTTAAGAATTTAAAATTAATTCAAAGACAAGGGTAGTGACAAAATGTTTTAGAACAGACATACTGAAGAGATATAGTAAAGATGAAGTAGTTTCCCCAAGGTGTGCAAAAAACAACAAATATCAAGCCTTCCAAAAGAAGATGACAGTTATAGGTGGCAGCATCTGCAGAGCAATCTAACAAAGAAGACTAATAAAAATGATGACAGCCATAATTCTCTTGGTTTCATAATGCTATTGTAACCGGTCCTACTTGAGGGGGATTTGAACCGCATCTCTGGTGTGGGACGCACAAACAAGGGCAATGTCACAAATGGCACCCAAATCACTTGTGGTCTTCCAATGAGTCTGGACTTTTGGGAACGCCATTTTGACTGTTGGGAAGAAGTCTGCTGCGGAGTACATCAGTGCGGACTCAGGAAAAGTGTACATCGAGGGCACATCGAAAGTGCACTTGAAGTGTGCCATTTGGGACAGGATAGCCTACCGTACATACAATTTCAAAGGAGGGACTAAACTATCATACTAAATCTAATATCTTAAACTGTGTTCCAAAGATGAAAGGAGGTCTTACTGGCTTGAGACGACATAAGGGTGAGTCATTAATGACATAATTTTCATTTTTGGGTGAACTAACTCTTTAAGACTCCATTCCATGCTAGATGGACAAGAGACACAGATAGATGGGCCTAGCATTACAGTGGTGTTATGTACCGCCCCCTAGTGATTAAACAACAACAACAGCAATGTATGTAGACTCAAACGGAACCATAGTGTGTGTAACAGTTGCATATGGAGATTCAATATGTTTCATTCTAGCATTATGTGAACACCAACTACTGATTGTAGGCCAACGAACGATTCAGTAAGAGTGGGTTGTTTGAATGATTCAGAAATCCCGGATCATTTTAGTACTGTTTGATCGATTCACCACCTCAAGTGAGTTGTTCATTTCTAAACATACGACGTGATTACTGTTTAGTTAATGAAAATGTTAAATTGTAGCCAATGTCAACGTCTGTGCCCTTGAAACCAACTTCAATAATGGTGAAGACAATAGACATTTCCCATGAACGTTCACTTGTGTAACATGAAGTCGTTTATGGGGTTTGCACTCTTCTCATTTCCTTGCTGTTTAGAGTTCAGATTAATAATGTAGCCTACATAAAACTCTGTTGTCATGACCAACAACTGTCAGTTAAACTCACTCTTTTGTGTTTCAAAAGCTCTCTTGCTCTTCTCTTGCTCTTCACAAATGAATGAATGCTTCCGTTCAGGAGTTGAACAATGCAGAGGTTTCATTAGTTCCAGTAGGGGGCAGTAAGACATTACAATTTTTTTTTCTCTGTATTTGGTTTCATTGGCCCTTGGACAGTGTTGAGACCTTTATTTTATTTCCAAAAGATAATCACACTTGAGAGAAATATTTCTTATAGTATTATTATTATTATTATTTTGGTTCAAATGTGGGGTAGCCTAATGTCCCCTAATCATTTGGGGTTTGTTTGTATTGTATGGAATTCCATTTGGATTTCCATATGGATTTTCCTTCAATGTTGTGTGTTATGGGTTTGTTGAGTATGCTATGAGTGTTTTCTTAATTGTATTATTAGGGGTGTGGCTACCTATTTATATCCCTGTTTTAAATGTGTCCACCATTTGCCTGAAGAAGACCCAGTGGGGTCGAAACGTTGTTTTTTTTTATTAAATATGGGAGCATAAGCAGTGTTTCGGACATTACTTTTCTTTTATTACATTAGTTCTTCTTGTCCTGCACCTGCCAGAAGGTGGGATGTGCACTCAACTTTCACAAAAATTGGATATGTAACAGAAACAGCAAGACTTTCAAATATTATTTACTGATAGGGGAGGGTTTGAACATTAATTAAATTAAATAAGCACACAAAAGGTGTACTTTTGTGTGTTTCTCATTGCTAAGTCAACCCTTTTAGTTGTCATTTCAGCACCTGTAGGTCTCGGATGCATCAGAGGATTCTCTGTGGTCGAACCGAGGGAGGTTTTTGTGCAGGGTTTTTTAACTGTGTGAACACCCATTCGTCACTTATCTTATGTCGACTCTGACAATAATAATCTCCTGCATCTTCAAGCTGGGCATCACTGATGGTCAGACTGAAATCAAGACCGTTTCCTCCTGAGTGAAAACTGCCTCCACCGCTCATTCTAGATGGAGCACTTGAGGGCTTCATTGTTGTGTAATATATAAGGAGTTTGGGGGGTTCTTCTGGCTTCTGAATATACCAGAATATGTAGTAATCTTTGGATACTGAGCCCGTTGGATTCCTATAAACTACAGTGTTGACCTTACAATCAATAGAGACTGTTTGACCAAGCTGAACTGATTTAAACTCAGGTTGAGTCACAACGATCTGTCCCAAAGAGCCTGTGAGAGAAAGAAAACAATTATTAGTGCATGAGTAAAACATTAAAATGAAAAAATATATATATTTCTGTTTCATTACCTTGGATGCAGTAAATTGCCCAGATGAAGAGAATCATATTGGCTTTTGTAGAGTGGACAGGTCTTATGTTAAAATTGTTCACGGGACTATAAACCCTTCCAGAGCACTGAAGCATGAGCTGCCGATGCAAAATAACATTACAGTGGAAAAACCCTTTATGAACTGAAATATCATATGATGATGAGCATTTTAACATATGCATATTTTAATTATGAGTTAATAATTCTTGAGGATTTTGCAGTGAATGAGAATGAACTATTGTGGGGGATTTTTGGTGGAGGGACCAAAGTGCAGAATAAAATAAGAAGATGAATAAACACTAATGAACTGTGGATCTGATTAGCTTTAGGGTTGGAGATTACTGTTGTTTTTATTACTGCGTTAATATTGTGAATGACTAGAATTAGACATTTTTTGAGTAAATGCTAAGAAATGAAAAAGTAAGTGCTTAAGAGAATCAGAATTCTTCAAAAATTGACATGAAAGTGATTGATGTACATACTTAGTTCTTAATTAGTAGTTCAATAGTGTTTGTATTGGTAATAATAATGATTTTATTTCTTAGTAAATTTGGAAAATTATCCAAATTAAACTGGTTTATTATGCAGCTTTTTCTGGTTTGTTTGTTTATTTGTTTTGCTAGTTATAAAAGAGCAAACTGGTTATTGTCAGAGTCAGTTTTAGTGCAGGAGGTTTTTGTACAGCCGCTCATTGGGTTTGTATCACTGTGGTGGACGTTTGGTGGAGGAACACGACTCTCAGTTGGAAGTAAGTAATTTTTTTTTTCATTTCAAAAATGAAACAGAATGAAAATAACATTAGAGGATTTAAAAAAACTAAAAAACTAAATATTGACTAATATAAGAATTAATTGTTTGATTTTTTTTTTATCTGGTGTAATTGTCTAACTTTCCTTAGTTCTTAACTTCTTCTATATACCAGTTTAAACCAATCACTTTTTTTATTACTGAGCAAATTTTTTTGTATTGTATTGTACTGTTTGTAATTTTTATTCATTTGACATAAAATATAAAGTTGATGTCTGTATTAGTCTTTTACTCCCCTACAGATCAATTTAACTTTTTAAATTGTTTTGTTATGCAAAACGTATCAATATAGACGGAAGAACGGCTTTGGCACCTTATTATTAACAGTTTGTAATTATTTTTCAATAATTCTTGCATAATGAAAAAGTTTTTTTTAATGAAAAGTCACATGAGACAGAAATGTGTCTTCATTTGCTGTTGCTTTCACTAAAAAAATGCTGTCACTGTTATTAATACCGTAAATGTTAAATGAGAAATGATTTTATAATTTGAACAAATTATTATAAATATTATAGAATATATAGATTCCCCAAAAATCAAAGATCCATAATACTGTATAATATTATGAATCTTTTTTAAATCCAATTATAGATATGTGTGATTGCTGGTAAATGTGTTTTTACACACAGTTGCACTTCAGATCTACTTGATTAACTCTGAATCTCTTAAAGGGAAGTGAAAGACTGATAGAGCTGTTTTTAAGAAGAATGAAACTCTTGAAAATCTCTCTCTCTGTAGCTGGCACTCGCCCCACTCTCACGGTCCTGCCTCCCTCCAGAGGCGAGCTGCAGCAGGGTAAGGCTACAGTGCTGTGTTTGGCCAGTAAGGGATTCCCGTCTGACTGGAAGCTGAGCTGGAGGGTGGATGGCGGTAGCAGGAGCTCTGCTGTGAATCTGAGTCCCAGTGTTCTGCAGAAGGATGGACTGTACAGCTGGAGCAGCAGCCTGAGTCTCACTGAGAGTGAGTGGAGCAGAGCAACAATCATCAGCTGTGAAGCCACACACACATCCCAGAATGCAGTGACCGGGAGCCTGAACACACAGCGGTGTGATGATGACCAGTGAAACACACATCACAAAGGCATGCATAATCATTCATGCACGTACAGTGTACCATTTTGCTCTGTATGTGTTCATCTTTCTTTAATCTTTCTTTCTTGAACATGTATGATAACCTCTCAATAAAATAATTTTTTGGTCAAATAAAAGCTTATTCAATCATTAATTGTGTGTATTTCTTATAGCCACATACAATTATGGTCTATTTTTTTTTTTTTTTTTACTTTTAAAATATTATTTTCTCTTTAATTTTATTTGTTCATTTTATTTTTCAGATTCAGCTGAAATTCAGTTATTTGTTTATCTTTACCTTGCATAAGGTGCAAAAGATCACTGATCCTCTAAATCGGTAAAATGTCAAATGAATTGCCCCAATTAAACGCTGGAAAATATGAGATATTAAACATATATATATATACATATATATAAATATATTCATGTTATTATAGTGAAATATAGTGGTATTTCATGAGGGACTAATGTGAAATCTTCATTTTCATTACATAAGCATTGATCATGTGATATTTCTTCATATTCATCTTGGATCTATTTTATTGTTATCATAATTTGTATTTCATGTTTGAGACATTATTTTGCATAAATTTAAATATATAGAATATGTTAATGAGTGTGTGACAATGAACATCAACAGTTCATCAACCTCCTGTGTATCTGTGTGTTTGTTAGTGACGTGCACAATGATCTTCAACATCAACATCTGCAAAAGTCTCAACCAAGGAGGTTTTTGTATGAGGCTTTTACACAGTGTGAACACCCAGTATAGCTTCTCCGAGTCTCCTTGTATTCCATGTTGACTCTGACAGTAATAAACTCCTGAATCTTCAGGCTGGACTCCACTGATCGTCAGAGTAAAATCCATGTGGTTTCCACTTTCACTGCCACTGAATCTAGAAGAAACACCTGAAGCTCTCTCTGATGTGTGATGGATCAGGAGTTTAGGAACTTCTCCAGGAATCTGATGGTACCAGGACATACAATACAGGGTGGTGTTTTTTTTAACACAGTATACTGCTGGTTTATGATTACAGTGAATAGAGACGGTCTGATCAGGCTGCAGTGTTTGAGCTTCAGATTGAGTCAGAGTTTGTCCCACAGAACCTGAAGAGAGAGACAGAAAACACTGAGAATAATATTAAACTGATGAACACAACACAAGGAATCTGTCAGACACAATATTTCTCACTGTTCCAATGATTAACTATATATCGAAACAAATTAGAATATAATGGCAATATATTTAATGATATCAGGGCAACAACATGCGTAAAGAATATGTCTTTTAAAATGTATGTACATAAATTACATCTTTATTTCACCCCCTTGTGGAGTTTTCCCTAAATTGGCAGAGGAAATTAATTTCTATACTTACTCCAGGTGCAGGTTGTGAGTGTCCAAATAATGATGGCTATTAAAGTCATGTTTGCTTTTGGATCTGTTATCATGAAGGAGAGCTGTCTGTCATAAAATCATAAACTCACAGATCTATAAAGACCTCCAGAGCACTGAAGCATGCAGTTAATATGCAAAGTCAACATGTCCTTTCTGAGAACTGTCAAGAAACATATTAATGGTTATTTTTCTTGACTTTATTATTCTTTTCTTTTTTTACATTCTGATAATCTCAGTTATTAATCATTCAAATGGATTAATCAATATCTGATGTTACTGTTCTGTTCTCTGTGACTTCTCTGCACTAGGGCACAGCCATGCCCCAAGGGACCATCCCGGTGATGGTGTGGAGGATGAAGGTGAATGAAGGCTTCAGCATGTGCAAACTCAGGCATGTGTAAGTAGCGACCTCTTATACTTTTGACCATACGTCAATATTCGCCTTTTTAGGGCCCCCTTAAACGTCGGTAGATGAGGTTATGGGATCCTAACTCTACCCCAGACCTAAACCTAACCCGTCACCTAACTGACGTTAAAGGTAAAGCGTCAGTTGTATGACGGCCCGGGATCGGCATCTACCGATGTTTAAGGGGTCCCTAAAAAGGTGGATATTGACGTATGGTCAAAAAACGTCCAAAGACGTCAGTTATATGACTTTTTGGGATGAGACTGTGTTAGGATAGATGAGATAGTAACAAGTGGGTAAACGATGGGTAAAGCTTTTTTTTTCAGTTAAAACACTGCAAATCTCCAACGCATTCTCACCCCAAGGCGTCACCTTTGACCATGCTTCAATATTTGACGTTTTAGGCGCCCTTTAGCGTCACTTACATGACGCGATCCTACGGCGTCATCTAACTGACGCTAAAGGAAAGCGTCAGTTAGAGGACGCGGTTAGGTTTAGGTGTGGGGTGGGGGTAGGGTACACGCGATCCTAGGGCGTCATCTAACTGACGCTAAAGGGCGCCTAAAGCGTCAGATATTGAAGCATGTCCAAATGCTTCCCAAGGCGTCAGTTAGGTGACGCCTTGGGGGTGAGAATGGGCTGAAATCTCATGCACTCTTTTTTCAAAACTCTAGAACACATTTTGCACTGTAATGCACTTTTGAAGGGACTGAAGGAAGAGTTTGAGTACGAGGAGGTTAACAAGGAGGAAGAGGAGGACGAGAAATAGCAAGGTGTGGCGAATGTTGTCAAGGCTGGATGTGACTTTCGGGGTTTTCCCTTTGCCTGCAGAGATAGCAGTTTCTGTGATGTGGACAAAGTCCCCATTCTGATCCCAACATGAAGACAAGAAGCTCAAGCAGAATCATATCTCTCTCACTGACCGTGATTTTACAGTTGCACAACTCTTCTGAGTGTACGCGTTGACTTTACTGTAACATGCTTTTAACATGAGTTCACCATATGCAAGTGGTGGATATTCAAACATTGGATAAGCCTATTATTCAATATTCAGTGCAATTCTATAGTTGCAGTGCATACAGTATACAATTCATTCACTTTATTACTGTAAGTTTTCATTCATGCAAAATTTGTTTACTTGGTTACAATATACTTTTTTTGTAACTGCATGCTTTGGATTCTGTGTTCTACATTTTTTAATGTAGTGTCTAATCAATGAATGGTCTGTAATGTTTATAATATTGACTCGTGTATGATCTGAAGGCATTTGATTTTGAGCACAGATACAATGATTTTGAGGCAAATGTTTGATTTTTCCAGGTGAGTTTTGAGAGCCAGATTTTGTGTTTAAGGTTTTGAGAAATTGTTTTAGTGATTCAGAGAAATTGTAAGATCTGCTTAAATCTGCTTTAGTTTTTCAAAGAGGAAAAAATAGATATTAATTAATGTAGGAACAAGATAAAACATTTTAGTGTTAGGGAAAATATTTATAAAATAAAAACTATATATTTATTTTTAAGGTCTGAATATTTTTGTCAGAATATAAAACTGAAAGGTAAAAATCAGATTTATACAGAATATATTAATCTGAATACTGAATTTAAAGATTAATACAGTCAGTAAAATGTGTTTTTACAGACTGTTGCACTTCAGATCTGCTTGATTAACTCTGAATCTCTTAAAGGGAAGTGAAAGACTGATAGAGCTGTTTTAAGAAGAATGAAACTCTCTCTCTGTCTCTCTCTCCACTGTAGCTTGCACTCGCCCCACTCTCACAGTCCTGCCTCCCTATAAATATTATAATTAATCAAATTATAAACGTCGACATGAAAAGAATCAGGCAGCATTTTTAGAAATTGATCTTTTCATAATGTCCTGTAAAAGACTGTAAATTATAAAATGACCTTAATATTAAATAATATTAAATGATGGAGATTAAAGAATAATATTAAATGATGGAGATGCATTCAAACATAAATACAGGAACTGAATGATGTTCATGAATTTTGATCAATTTCATTAATAATTGTATTGGTGGTATTTTTATATTTTATATTTAATATAATTTAACACAATAAAGTTGTGAAATTTCTAATTTTGCTGCTGATTTATAAATGTTTATTAGGTAGGGGAAAAAAAGTAAAATATTTCCTTTACTCAATTAAATACCATATATATATATATATATATATATATATATATTGGTATTTAATTGAGTAAAGGAAATATTTATATATCAGCTTGTACAGAGCACAATAATAAACAAACAATGCAATCAACATATATATATATATATATATATATATATATATATATATATATATATACATTTAATTAGTCTTTACAGGATAATGAAATGGAAATTAAATAAATATATTATTGATTAATTATATTTAATATACAAATATATTAAAAATCTACTGCTTGTGTATTCCACTTGCAGCTTCATCAGAAGATGTTAGTAATGTTAGTAATCTGATTCTGAACAAGGGAGGGTTTTTGCACGGGACCTTTTCACTGTGTGAACACCTTGCTACCACTGATCACATGGTAACTCTGACAGTAAAATACTCCTGCATCTTCAAGCTGGACATCACTGATGGTCAGACTGAAATCAAGACCGTTTCCTCCTGAGTGAAAACTGCCTCCACCGCTCATTCTAGATGGAGCACTTGAGGGCTTCATTGTTGTGTAATATATGAGGAGTTTAGTGGGTTCCTCTGGTTTCTGAATATACCAGGAGATGTAGTAATCTTTGGATACTGAGCCCGTTGGATACCTATAAACTACAGTGTTGACCTTACAATCAATAGAGACTGTTTGACCAAGCTGAACTGATTTAAAATCAGGTTGAGTCACAACGATTTGTCCCAAAGAGCCTGTGAGAGAAAGAAAACAATTATTAGTGCATGGGGAAAACATTAAAATGAAAAATATATATATTTCTGTTTCATTACCTTGGATGCAGTAAATTGCCCAGATGAAGAGAATCATATTGGCTTTTGTAGAGTGGACAGGTCTTGTATGTTAAAACTGTTCACGGGAATATAAACCCTTCCAGGGCACTGAAGCATGAGCAGCCAATGCAAAATAACATTACAGTGGAAAAACCCTTTATGAACTGAAATATCATATGATGATGGGCATGCATTTTTTCATCTAATCGTCTAATTGTCGTTTAATTAACATGTGTGGTGCTCTCAGAATATTGTGGAGATTTTGCGTGAGAATGAATTATCGTGGAGGATTTTTTGTTGGAGGAACCAAACTAAGTGTGTAAATAATGTAAAAAGATGAATAAACTCTAATGAAATGTGGATCTGATTACTATTATTTTTATTACGTACTGCTTTTATACAGTTTTGGATTGTAAATTAAGCTACAATGAAAGCCATATTAAATAAAAAGCACTATAAAAATGTTATTAATGTAATGTATGCTATATATATATATATATATATATATATATATATATAGCATATAGCATATAGCATATAGCATTTAAGTAACTTTTCAACTACATGTCAACTAACTGTGATTAGAGTATTAGTAGACTGTCAGCTTAATATCTGCTAACACTTTATTTTGTTGGTTCCCCAACAGACATTCAACTAACTATACGTAACTTGGCGACTACAAGTAAACTTATTCTCCTAACCTGAACCCTAACACCTAACCATAACCTAATACTGACAGTCTACTATAATATACTAATATGAGAGTTACTTGACATCTAGTTGAAAAGTTGCTTATAATTAGTAGAATGTCTATCGAAATAAAGTGTAACCGGCCTACATATTAAGTTCCCTTTCAGTCGCTCACGTTCGACGTTGAGGGCCTGTCATCTAGTACTAGTTCTTCATCTTCGAGTACATTGTAATTGGCATATGAGAAATGCATACACACTGCGCCCACGCGACGCAGTAGCCTATAAATGGAAGTCATACACACACTATTTTTTTTATTTATTATTATTTATTATTTTATTTGTATTAGAATTCAAATTACAAACATACAAGAATCACAGTTCACAAACAAATATTATACAGCGAAAAATAAATAGACCCCAGAATAAAGTAGCTAATATGAAATAGGCATAAATAGACAGATGCTGTGTCCGAAATCACCCACTATAGCCTACTCACTATATAGTGGACTATATAGTGAGCTCGCCATTTTGTAGTGCTGTCTGAATGTATAGTGATGATTATTATACCCTATATAGTCCACTCAATGTATCCCAGAATGCATTTTGAAAAGTAGTGTACAGCTAACCCAAGCACTACATAGCCTACCATCATGCATTGTGCTGATCGTAAAATAAGTTCATGTGTGGAGTAGCGCATTACAACAGAAACAACCAGAAATTACTTTTAGTTTTTTTTTTTTTTTTTTTTTTTTTTTCAATTTTGGAGAAATAAGCTCAATGTAATGTATTTATTTTAAAAAAAAATCTATTTAGCCCAGAGACGATCAAGTAGTGTCCGAAAGTGTTGTTTCTATTATGCTGATGAGCTCACTATATAGTGCTCTACTCCCCCCTGCATAGGTAAGCCCAAAATGTCACATATTAATTTCTTCTGAAATCAATAATGAAAATTAAAGTGAACTAATAATAAGAAATAACTGAAAATAAAATCTTTATTGGTACTTTAACTGTTGTACAGGGCAACTAGCGTGATTCTCCTCTTCTCTGTAGTGTCTGACTGAGGGAGGTTTTTGTATGATGTTGTTTCACTGTGTGAATACTGTAGAAGAATAATACCCCATACAGTAATAATCTCCTGCATCCTCAGGCTGGACTCCACGAATGTTCAGTGTAAAATCAAGTCCAGATCTACTTCCACTGAACCGATCTGGGACTCCGGATTCAAGTTCACTTGCTGCATAGATCAGGAGTTTAGGAGCTTCTCCAGGTTTCAGCAGATACCAGCTCATGTCATTACCAACTCCACTGGTCCCAGTGCAGCTTATAGAGACTGAATCTCCTGCTTTAACAAGCAAAGACTCAGGAGTCTGGACCTCTTGACGAGACACTGAGAGAGAGTTCAAAAACAAATGAAAAGAAGCTTGAATTTGCTATAAACAGTTCAAATGAATCCATTTAGAAAAGAAGAAAAAAAAACATAAAGCACAAATTAAATTATAAAAATAATTATAAAATAATAAAAAATAACCATCATAATGTAAAAAAATATATTTTTGAACCTTGAGCAAGCAGACAGAGTGTCCCCAGCATTAGAATAAGAGCCATCATTGTTGTGTGTGTGTGTGAGTGTGTGTGTCTCACACTAATAATCATCAGTGGAGTTTTAAGCGTAGTGTTCAGTTAATATGCAAAACACTTTCAGATGCATCATGGAATAAACCTAAAACAATAATCAGAAATTTTGCAAGATTTTATTAATTAAAAATGTATTTAATTTTTCAGCTAACTGAGTGAATCTAAACTAAAATGGCGTTTTAATGTCAGAGTTAGTGTTGATGTTAGTGTAACTCTGTCAGTGTCAGTGTTAGTGCAGGAGGTTTTTGTTCAGCCGCTCATTGGGTTTGTATCACTGTGGTGGACGTTTGGTGGAGGAACACGACTCTCAGTTGGAAGTAAGTGAACATCTTTCTGTTTCAAAAAATATATATAATTTTATTTATAATATAATAAATATATAATATAATTATTAATAAATATTATTGCCTATATTTATGTTTAAGATAATACAGAAATATATCTAACTTCTGTTTCAGGTGTTACTGTTATTACTGTACTGTCATAATTAAAACTGGGCACTTAAAAAATAAAAATATATAACATTGTTATATTTTAGACTTGATAATAATTCTGAATTTAAATATACTGAAATGCATTTGAAATACAATTATTTTATGCTACGCATACTACAAATTAATTTATATTTGTGTACTTAAAATAAATATCCTGTGAGTGGTATACTGAATTGGTATAAGTCTGCTAAATTGGAACAACTCATTTTGTACTTAATGCTCTTTAGTTATCCAGAAATAGTGCTGAGTTCCAACTAAACCTACTTAAGCATATTTGATTGTGTTAAAGTAGAACTATTGCAAGTATACTGTAGGTACACTTTCAATATCTTGCATTTAAAGAATCAGAAATCATACTATCCTTAATAATAGTGAAACACATTTTAGGCTTAATATTAAGAAATGCGCATTGTGCAAGATATAAGTACTCCAAATAAAGTTTATTATAATATGTATACGTATATGTATTTATTAACTTGAAGTGTGCTATTTTAAATTTAATTTTGTACTAAGTATATTTGTAAATAAATTAAAGCATACCTTTTAGTGTATTTACTTTTGTGTGCTAAATTGGAACAACTTCAAGTTTACTTAGTATACTTATAGTATATCCTTTACGGATAAATTAGTGATATTAAAGTGTACTTTATTTGTGTTAAAAGTACATTATAAATTCATTATGAGTGTATTCGAAACAGACAAGCAATATACCATAAGTGTAATATATTTGAGTAAGTTGGCTTATCCCAAATTCTATAAATTGCACACTTTGTCTTCACTAACAAATGCACATTAATAAACGGATTTTACTTAGCTATACTTTGCAAAATATATAGTATACTATAATGTATTTTGAAAGTATTATTTCAATGCATTGTTACAATGATCATTTTAAGCAAAGATTTAGAAATATACCTAACATATTTTTTTAAGTAAAGTGTAAATAAATACACTTTTAAAAAATATTAAAAGTAAATAAAAAAATAAATAAATAAGTATTTTTTTAAAAATATCTAAAGTACAATTACTTTAAAGTGTGTTAAAGTATTGTGAAAAAGGGTAAAAGAATGATGCTACTTTAAATACATTTAAAGATAAAATTTTCACTAGGGTTTATATACTGAACTTTATTCTTTCACTCTTGATATTTTTACAAACAAATAATCTTATTCTATAAATAATCTTAACACATATATATATATATATACAAAGTATATATATATATATATATATATATATATATATATATATATATTATCAGGATGCATGGATACAAATTTAATATTTACATTTTAGTTCGATATGTTATCAATTGTTTTAGTAATATTTACAAGTACTGAATCTATCATCGTTATTACTGAATATATTTATTTATATTTATGTTACTCCTGTTTAGACTAAAATATGAATAATATGATTCAATAAAATGTGTTTTTACACACAGTTGCACTTCAGATCTGCTTGATTAAATCTGAATCTCTTAAAGGGAAGTGAAAGACTGATAGAGCTGTTTTTAAGAAGAATGAAACTCTTGAAAATCTCTCTCTCTCTCTCTCTCTCTCTTTCTCTCTCTCTCTTTCTCTCTCTCTCTCTAGCTGGCACTCGCCCCACTCTCACGGTTCTGCCTCCCTCCAGAGGCGAGCTGCAGCAGGGTAAGGCTACAGTGCTGTGTTTGGCCAGTAAGGGATTTCCGTCTGACTGGAAGCTGAGCTGGAGGGTGGATGGCGGTAGCAGGAGCTCTGCTGTGAATCTGAGTCCCAGTGTTCTGCAGAAGGATGGACTGTACAGCTGGAGCAGCAGCCTGAGTCTCACTGAGAGTGAGTGGAGCAGAGCAACAACCATCAGCTGTGAAGCCACACACACATCCCAGAATGCAGTGACCGAGAGCCTGAACACACAGCGGTGTGATGATGACCAGTGAAACACACACATCACACAAAGACATATAGCATGCATAATCACTTATTCATACACATACACACAATCACAAACTTACAAATGACTGTCCTAAATCAGTCAATGCTCAACAATTAATCTTTTGTTCTGTTAGTATAATGATCAAATATTCTTAGCTGTTGTATTAGCGGTGCTTTGTTGTTTTATTGCTGCCAAATAAAAGCTTTTTGACTCAAATATTGTGTTGAAATTCTTGCTGTTTTAAAACAATCCGTACAATAGCCTATCAAAATACCACTTTTTATGAATTTTTTGGGACTTGTGTCCATTGCTATTGTGATGAATAGCATTAGCGTGGATAATAATATATTTTTTAATATTGAAAATATTGATTACAGTAAAAGAGACATTTATGTTAACATTGCGTCTCATATATTTAATAAAATAAAATATTTTGGCGACATTTAATTTATAAAAATAGCCTATATATACTTTGTATATATATATATATATATATATATATATATTAATCTACAAATTTAAAATTAAGGCACGGGAGATGAATAGGGTAAAAAAAGAAAAACGAAAGAATGAATAGATTTCACCATAATTCCCCAATTAAGAATCACAAACATTCTTTAAGTTTTCGAAAATTGTATGCTTAAATATGCAAACAAGGCATTTTCTAATTTATTATGCACTAATTTGCATTTATTTCCAGAACAGACATCTGAACATAGGATAAAGCCAGCTTCAAAATTAGGAAAATTAGGCATGATTTTGCATTTTGACCATGCTTCAATATCCAACGCTTTAGGCGCCCTTTAGCGTCAGTTAGATGACGCCTTAGGATCTCGTGTAACCCTACCCCCACCCCAGACCTAAACCTAACCGCATCATCCAACTGACGCTTTTCCTTTAGCGTCAGTTAGATGACGCCGTAGGATCGCATCATGTAAAACGTCAAATATTGAAGCATGGTCAAAGGTGACGCCTTGGGGTGAGAATGCGTTGGTTACATAACATAACCCCAACCCAGACCTAAACCTAACCGCGTCATTTACTTGACGCTTTACCTTTAGCGTCAGTTTGATGACGCCCTAGGATCGCGTCAGATAACTGACGCTAAAGGGTGCCTAAAGCGTCAGATATTGAAGCATGGTCAAAATGGTCAGTTAGATGACGCCTTGGGATGAGAATGCGTTGATAGGCCTATGTGAACAAACCCCTCTGTAATATAGGCTCTCTCTCTCTCTCTCTCTATATATATATATATATGTGTATATATATATATATATATGTGTATATATATATATATATATATATATATATATATATATATATATATGTATAATACAGTATTATATATATGTATATATTATGCTGTATATATATATGAATATATATGTATATATATGTATATTATATATATGTATTATATATATGTATAATACATATATATGTATAATAATAACATAATTTACAGATTTATTATATATTTATATATATATATATATATATATTTATATAAAATAAATCTGTAAATTATGTTATTCACTGAAGTAATCTCCACTTCTTCTTCTGGCTCAGCATGAGAACAAATCTTTTTGAGAATGGCCTTTAAAGATATTTAATCTAAACAAAAATAGATGAAGTGCAATACATGTTTTTGTGTCTTGCCTTAACTTTTGTCATAGAGTCATAGACAGAATGTGTAGATTGATAACCAATTTTTGCACTGAAAAAAAATTATTTATCATGTGATTATTTACTGTGTGAGTACATACATTGTGCCGTACAATGCCGTTTCGCTGAATGAATACTGAACCACAATAAAACACCATTATAAAGGACAGGAATCATTTTTTTTTTTTGACTACCGAAGAAAATAATCTTTAAAACTTATTTTGCTCAGCTGTTGTACATGCAGGGCAACTATCGCCTGAAATGATTCTAACATTCAATGTAGTGTCTGACTGAGGGAAGTTTTTGTATGATGTTGTTTTACTGTGTGAATACTGGAGCCTTATAAAACCCATAAAGTAAAAATCTCCTTTATCATCAATCTGGACTCCACAAATGTTCATCATACATTCATAGCCAGAATAAATACCTTGCACTGAACTGGTTTGTAACTGGTTTGTAATATAGTAAATCAGTAGTTGCCTTCAGCAGCATCCTAGAAAGCAGTGACCCAGAGCCTGAACACACAGCAGTGTGATGATGACCAGTGAAACACACACATCATAGGCATTCATAACACTTACACATGCAGTGTGACATTTTGCTCTGTATCTGTTAATCTTGTGTGTTGATGTGTTAACAAAGTGTGTGTTTTTTAAAAAAGCTTAAAAGCTTTTTGAGACATTGTGTTAATTTATTGTTTCAAAAATAATAGAGCATCATTTTAATATTTTTCTTTAAAATAGTTATTTTGTCTTTATTTGTTCCTGTCCATTATAGTACTTTGTTCATTTTATTTGGATTCTGTTAGTTGACATTTGATTAATATTAATTTTATGAAAATAAACTTTAAAAAAGTTTTTGTCTTACCAGGGGAAAACTTATTACGATTGTTACCAGAGGAATAATGGACAGGGAAAAAAAGATTCATGATCTAATTCAGACTAAACAACACTGTCGTTTTTTTTTTTCTGGTCGAAATTTTGAGTTTTGATATCTCAACTCTGGAAGGGTCTAGAGCCTCCATTGTTGCACTCAGGACTAAGTCTCATGGCCCTCTATCAGAATCCAGAGTTTTGAGAAGATTGGGGACACTTAATTTTTCGCCCCCCCAAAAAAAACATAAGGGGTAACACTGTCGTTTTTTTTTTTCTGGTCGAAATTTTGAGTTTCGATATCTCAGCTCTGGAAGGGTCTAGAGCCTCCATTGTTGCACTCAGGTCTAAGTCTCATGGCCCTCTATCAGAATCCAGAGTTTCAAGAAGATTGGGGATACTTAATTTTTCGACCCAAAAAAAAACGTAAGGGGTAACACTGTCGTTTTTTTTTTTCCTAGGCGAAATTTTGAGTTTCAATATCTCAGCTCTGGGAGGGTCTAGAGCCTCCATTGTTGCACTCATGTCTAAGTCTCATGGCCCTCTATCATAATCCAGAGTTTCAAGAAGATTGAGGATACTTAATTTTTCGACCCAAAAAAAAAAAACGTAAGGGGTAACACTGTCTTTTTCTTTTCTGGTCGAAATTTTGAGTTTCGATATCTCAGCTCTGGAAGGGTCTAGAGCCTCCATTGTTGCACTCAGGACTAAGTCTCATGGCCCTCTATCATAATCCAGAGTTTCAAGAAGATTGGGGATACTTAATTTTTCTCCCCCCCAAAAAAACGTAAGGGGTAACACTGTCGTTTTTTTTTTTTTCTGGTCGAAATTTTGAGTTTCGATATCTCAGCTCTGGAAGGGTCTAGAGCCTCCATTGTTGCACTCAGGTCTAAGTCTCATGGTCCTCTATCAGAATCCAGAGTTTTGAGAAGATTGGGGAAACTTAATTTTTCGCCCCCAAAAAAAAAACGTAAGGGGTAACACTGTCGTTTTTTTTCCTGGTCGAAATTTTGAGTTTCGATATCTCAGCTCTGGAAGGGTCTAGAGCCTCCATTGTTGCACTCAGGTCTAAGTCTCATGGCCCTCTATCAGTATCCAGAGTTTTGAGAAGATTGGGGAAACTTAATTTTTCGCCCCCCAAAAAAAACGTAAGGGGTAACACTGTCGTTTTTTTTTTCTGGTCGAAATTTTGAGTTTCGATATCTCAGCTCTGGAAGGGTCTAGAGCCTCCATTGTTGCACTCAGGTCTATGTCTCATGGCCCTCTATCAGAATCCAGAGTTTCAAGAAGATTGGGGATACTTAATTTTTCGACCCAAAAAAAAAACGTAAGGGGTAACACTGTCGTTTTTTTTTTCCTAGGAGAAATTTTGAGTTTCAATATCTCAGCTCTGGAAGGGTCTAGAGCCTCCATTGTTGCACTCATGTCTAAGTCTCATGGCCCTCTATCATAATCCAGAGTTTCAAGAAGATTGGGGATACTTAATTTTTCGACCCAAAAAAAAAAACGTAAGGGGTAACACTGTCTTTTTCTTTTCTGGTCGAAATTTTGAGTTTCGATATCTCAGCTCTGGAAGGGTCTAGAGCCTCCATTGTTGCACTCAGGACTAAGTCTCATGGCCCTCTATCATAATCCAGAGTTTCAAGAAGATTGGGGATACTTAATTTTTCTCCCCCAAAAAAAACGTAAGGGGTAACACTGTCGTTTTTTTTTTCTGGTCGAAATTTTGAGTTTCGATATCTCAGCTCTGGAAGGGTCTAGAGCCTCTATTGTTGCACTCAGGTCTAAGTCTCATGGTCCTCTATCAGAATCCAGAGTTTTGAGAAGATTGGGGAAACTTAATTTTTCGCCCCCAAAAAAAAAACGTAAGGGGTAACACTGTCGTTTTTTTTCCTGGTCGAAATTTTGAGTTTCGATATCTCAGCTCTGGAAGGGTCTAGAGCCTCCATTGTTGCACTCAGGTCTAAGTCTCATGGCCCTCTATCAGAATCCAGAGTTTCAAGAAGATTGGGGATACTTAATTTTTCGCCCAAAAAAAAAACGTAAGGGGTAACACTGTCGTTTTTTTTCTGGTCGAAATTTTGACGTCGATATCTCAGCTCTGGAAGGGTCTAGAGCCTCCATTTTTGCACTCAGGTCTAAGTATCATGGCCCTCTATCAAAATCCAGAGTTTCAAGAAGATTGGGGATACTTAATTTTTCGCCCAAAAAAAAAACGTAAGGGGTAACACTGTCGTTTTTTTTTTTGTGGTCTAAATTTTGAGTTTCGATATCTCAGCTCTGGAAGGGTCTAGAGCCTCCATTGTTGCACTCAGGTCTAAGTCTCATGGTCCACTATCATAATCCAGAGTTTTGGGAAGATTGGGGAAACTTAATTTTTCGTCCCAAAAAAAAAACGTAAGGGGTAACACTGTCGTTTTTTTCCTGGTCGAAATTTTGAGTTTCGATATCTCAGCTCTGGAAGGGTCTAGAGCCTCCATTGTTGCACTCAGGTCTAAGTCTCATGGCCCTCTATCAGAATCCAGAGTTTCAAGAAGATTGGGGATACTTAATTTTTCGACCCAAAAAAAAAACGTAAGGGGTAACACTGTCGTTTTTTTTTCCTAGGCGAAATTTTGAGTTTCAATATCTCAGCTCTGGAAGGGTCTAGAGCCTCCATTGTTGCACTCAT